ACTAGATGTGATAATAATAAACATAATTAATAATTACATAATTGCAACGATTTGTGCGTTTTTTAAAAATGTATACTCTTTTTTGTCTGCAATTAAAATAAAATGTGTACTTCAATAAAAATATGCTCAACGACTGAAATATTTTAAACCACTGGATTTAATCCGGTTAGTCCGGTTTCAAACAGTTACCCGCACTATGCGAGGTATTGCTGTGCTTATTTACAACACTAGATGTGATAATAATGAACATAATTAATAATTACGTAATTGCAACCATTTGTGCGTTTGTTTTTAAATTTATTCTGTTTTTTGTCAGCAATTAAAATATTCGTAATATCATCATCATTGTACATAAAATTATGTAACAAAACGAAAAGGGACATCAAATTATCTAATTGAAAGTTTAATTATCCATTGGTTTCGAAGTCCTCAATTAGTCCGGTTTCAAACATTTACTATTCGAGGTATTGCTGTGTATATTTACAAACAATTTTCTAATGTATATCTTCCCTATATAAAAATTATTATTTGTAATAATATAAAAAAACTGTTAATGTTTGGTTTAAAAATAAATAAACATTTGTTTAAGAAAAAAATAAATTTTCATAAAATTTTAGAATAGTATTGATTCGTATGTCTGTGAATTGTGAAATTGATGAGAAAGCGCACATTTTCATCTCACGCTTTGGAAATGAATTTTATATAAAGTTAAATTGGCCACTCTCGGATATTACGAAATAAATAATGGAATGAAACAAAAAGTGATATGCAAACGTTCAAAATCGCATATTTATAAATGTATAAATGATTTTGATTGGATGAAATGAACTGTCCATAGCATTTTCAATATAATTTTAGATTATTTAATATGCCTTTTAAATAATCATATTAAAATTCATATGTTTTTTTTTTCAAGAATAATAATAAATAAGCTTATTAATTATTATCTAATTAATTACATTAATATTTTGAACAATGTATTATATTAAAAATTAATTAATACAATCTTTGTGATTGAATAGTATTAATGGAACATTGAACGCATATTTTATAGAAACAAAAATCTTAATTAAATACGCGACCTCGAGAATTACGTAATTAATGACATATAAC